CTCAAAGACAAAAATGATGAAAATTCGTTTCAGAAATTCAGTATTAATATGTTTCAGAAAAACGAAAAAAATCTCCATGCTATTTTTGACGTCAAAAATGCTTGATTAATTTTGGTAACGGCTACTATTGAAATAAAAAAAATAATTTGTTTAATATAACGCGAAATTAATTATGAATTTATACTTTTTCGTTTAGAAGAAGCATAATCGCCATGCTACTATTGACGCCAATAACAATTAATTAATTTTAGAAACAGATACTATTTGAAACAAACAAATTAGTCATGAGCTGAAAAGCAAAACTAATCCAGAAATGGTTCTAGTTAGTTTAGAAGGAAGCTTAAAAAATATTATACTCTAATTGATATCAATGATGCTTAAGAAATGTTTGTAAGAAGTACTAATTGAAACGAAGCAAAAAATGAGCTATATTCCAGAAAATTCATTAAAAATTGGTACTGTTTCGTTCAAGAGAAAAGTAAAAAAATCCCTTTATTATTTTTTGATGCCAATAATTTTCGTAATAACGATGAATTTATATAATAAGTACTAATTGGAATAAAAATAATCTATGAACTAAAACACAAAATTAATATAATAATAATAATAATAATAATAATTGAGATATGGTACGAATTCGTTCAGGATAAATGCAAAAAAAAAAAACTCATACTATCATTTACGTTAATAATGCTTTACTAGTTTTGGTAATATGTACTACAGCCTATATGGTAATAGGTCCAGTTTTAATAGGCACCAAATATACTAATATAGGAACAAAGTATTATATGGGTGATTCTCACGAAACATGGCAATTCACTGCCCCTTGCTCCAAGATCTAATACTATAATACTAAAAGAACTTTCTTTAAAAAAAAATTATAAATAGCATTGCTGTTAGCATTTTAAAATGACTTTACACTAGCATTGACTGTTTTGTATACTTAAAAAATTTAATTGAATATGAATATGTCATTTTCCTGGCATGTCCCAAACAATATTTCCTATAATAACTAGCTTCAAAACTTCCCATACATTTTTCAAAATCTAATTTTTTTTATCTTATACTATGTAAGCATTTGTAGAATATAAGCAGAGGGTATTGTTTACTAAAACTTCGTTTAAAATGATTTTTTCTGTCAATAATTTGTTTGTCCCATGAAAATCTGTCATTTTCCTGGCTACTTTTATTTAGTAATTTATAACCAAAATAGATAACACCAGGAATCAGTACCTTATGTTAATAGATTGATTAGATACCCTTCTATCTGAACATGTCTGGTTGCATGAATAAAGAACCAATTTTCTGGCTAAAAATCTATTTAAAAAATTTTTTCAAGGTGAGCAGGTTTCTATGCTGTCATTTTCCTGGCTTCTTGAAATCATTAATAACAAAAACTACATAGATTTATCTGAGTTATTTTAAGAAATACTGTAGTTTTCTGCAGAATATAAACGTCTTCGGCGAAAATATTAAATTAAAGTAAAGTTATATGCTATAAAATGGCGAATTTGTCATTATTCTGACTGTCATTTTCTTGGCTTATGAATACCAGGACAATGAAGTGTTACCAGAAATTCTTTTTAACTGCTAATACTGTAAAGAGGGAAAGCAAATATTAACCTAATACCAAGTTTATGTATGATTGTAATATGCTTGGATGTAATCAAAGTTATTTATTTATTTAATGATTGATTATTATACACAATTTTATTCTGTACATATCAGCAACAAAAAGTTTTTTGTTTCTGTCCACAGTGGATAAAAAGAATTAATTTAAGCAATTTATGGTCCATCTAACATAAAGGCTTAAGTTGAGTTACTTATTATTAACTTAAAATGACTGTTTTTTAAACTTCTAAGCTAATATGTCATTTTCCTGGCATTCAAGATTTGGCGAATTTCTATTTTTTTTTTTCTCGAGCAAATATCAATAAACTACACTGTAGTCTATAAGATATTCATAAGTGTAGCTAAAGAAGTACTGAAAAAAAATTCTAGAATATTTTGAAGTCTTTAAATTTGAAGAAATTTTTTGGTCCGAATTGTCATGTTTCGTAAGAATCACCCATATAAGCCCTTATGGTACCCATTAAAACTGCACCAATACTATGCGTTTCAATATAGATACTGTGGAAAGAGGATTTTTACCACCACTTTGAAATGGAAGAACAGAAGAAAATCGCTTGATAGTAGTAATTTTTTATTATCGTGAGTTGGTCCTAAGCAAGAGCATCAAGCCGAATTATACTAAATATAGTTCATCTTTATTTTGATGACGTAAACAACTAAAAACGTTTTGGGCTTAATCTAATAACGTTTAGCCACTAAAATGGGCAAAAAATAATAAAATAAAATGGGCAGCAAAGAAAGAGAAATTTAAATTATTTTATCTCTATTTCTGTACATGTCTTTCATTTCATTACTGATACATGTCTTTCATTATTGGACATCATTTTGTAGTGTTGCTCTGTACTAATTTTTTGATGATTTATTTTTCGTTTTCACCCCCTTCAAATAACTTCAGCTAGTACGTAATAGTTATAAATTATTATGACGAAATTTTTTTTAAAAATTAATCACAACAGAAAATCATGTCGTATGTTTAAGGGGACACTGGACGTTCAAAATGAAAAAAAAATCCTTCAAAAATCCTTTATTTTGTGTTTGAGATATTAAACAAATTTACACTTTACTAAGTAATAGGTAATAAACCGTGTTTAAATCGGGGCTTTTCTTAAGCAGTTATAAGATTATGAGTCTGTTAAGGTCCATACATCAATATGTAGTTCTCGCTGACAAAGTCGCTTTTCAATGTTCTCATTACTTCTTAAAATTCCTTGCGCATCAGTTTTCGTTTTATTGTGATTAAAAAATATATGAATACTCTTTGATGTGTCTTGCTTAATTCTAAATGCATTTGATTAACTATATTTTTCCTCTCCATCTAACGCAAATGCGTGTTAGTTCCATCAAAAAGTCAAGGCAAATTTCTCCCAATACTTGATCCAGGAGTACCTTTGTCTTCTCGATTGGGTTCAAAATTACAAGGCTACGGAGTTGAATATTTGTAGTCGCGCACCCAAAATTGGGATGACAGTTCAACACTGGCTATAAAATAAAAAATCATAAACTATCTTAATTTAATTTTTTAATAAATGAACAATCCTATTTAAAGCGTGTTTTTTTAAAAAAATTTTGGCGACAAAATAAAAATTTAAGGCCTAGTTACGTTATATTTTTAAACAGTTACCATAACTACTTAAATTTATTTAAATGTCTGTAAAAAAAAGTATTTGGGAAAAATTTATTTAAAAAAATTAAAATTTATTCGCAAGGAAATTTTCAATTACCAACAATTAAAAACTATACTTTTAGCTTTAACTATAAAACTAATCATTATTTTTTTTCTAAAACTTTGAAAAAAGTTTTCTACCAATGCTACCAATATTCTGCTAAAATTTGAAAATGATCGACTAAAAATTGCATTTTTTGCTTTGAACTTCCTTGTTTGCCTTTAATGTTTAACCATTAAGCGTTTATTTATTTTAGACAAGTTTTATATAAATTATTCTACCTAAATTTTAAATAAAATTCCGTTATTCTTTAGTGAAAACTTTAAGATTAAAATCATTTGATTAAATCAAAACATTCAACAATCATATTGTAAAACTATAAGTGCTTTTAAATTTAAGCAAGAATTAAAAAAAAAACTAGCGTAATAACTTGAATTACACGCCTTTAAGAAGTGAAGGAAAAATAATTTATCAAGACATAATTAGAAAATATTACTTCGAGTCAAACAGTTTTGTTGTAAAATAGACATAGCTGTTTTCTATAATATTGCATCTTCTGAATAATATTCGTTTCTAAAATTTTGTGCATTATATAATGAGTAAACATGCAGTTTCCCCATAAAAATAATGAAAAGAATAAACAAAAAAATAAAGAAAAGGATTTTGATTTTAAACTATGACAAAAAAAGAGTATTTTTTAGAATATTTGTGTATTTTTAAACGTATGAAAGTCGCACGTACCCCATTGGGCTAATCTACAGAACCTTGAGAAACATTGAACCGGAATTCAGAAAATGTCTTTAAAACAACACATTTAGAATTTTCGTTCCGAAAATGGGTAAAATAACAGACAGCAGTCCATCCATTTGATTCGATAGTCAACAGAAAGTTATTTATAATCAATTAGTATTTATTACTGCTTTTAAATCTCTTTCCATAGTTAGTTTCTTTTTTGACACATGAAGAAAAATCACTTCAGTAAAATCACAGTACTGTAGTATAATCACATTTTTGATTAAAAAAAAACATAATTCAGATTAATAGAACCAAAACATACGTTAGTTAAGCCGTACATCAAATAATTTTTCCGTTCGCATGCTTATAGTTTTCTGGAAATTCTGGTTTCCAAAAACATAATTCTTATTACTACACATTTATTAAAAAATACTAAACTGAAAAATAAATTGAAAAGCATAAACGAGTTTTATTCCATGCCCAAAGATATCGCAATAAAACTACGAATTTTTAGCACAATTACCACAATATTTTTTTTTTTTTATTTACCTCCAATGAGCTGCACAATCAGTCTTGCCGATGACCTAGCAGACCTAGTGCGTTCTCCAGAAGTGGTATCCACTCTTTCAGGACCACCACAAAGGGGTGAGATACCGTTGGCCAAGTCAATTTGGACATCTAGTTTCCGCCACACTAGATGGCAGCACCGAGACTCTATTTGGATGCTAAAATTCACTAGGAATTTAATTTACCACAATATTAGATAACGATATCTTATTGTTAGTTTTACCAAAATCATTAGCTTTGGTAAAAATTAAAGCCCTTTGGTAAAAATTACTGGGCTTTTTGGAGTTAACTGATCCAGAAACGCGGTAAATGTTACCATATTCTGGTAGTTTTGACCATACTTTTTTCTCAGAACTTTATTTATAATAATCGTATCATTAGCAAGGAAATAAAAACAATGAGGCTGATGAAAAAGTCTTTATTGAAACACAATCAGATACAAATCTGAAACGTTTGAATCCCTTAAATCTTGAGGTCTATTTTATCTTTTCATCCAGTACGTGCTCTGAGATTTCGTAACTTCTTCACGATTTCAGAAAAATCCTTCAAGATGGATTGCGCGTCAGAGAAATAGGTTTGGAAAAGATCTTTCTTCACAGACATGGTCAGTACGACAGAGGCATCTGAATCAGCTATGCACGATGGTGCCAAGACGCAGAAGACTGCTAAAGCTATGAGAATGTGACTGGCTTGCATCTGTAAAAATATTATAAAATTTGGTTAAATTTTTACAAGGATTCTAAAAATATTTCTAAGAGTTAGTCATTACTTAAAATCTGAACAGCCTGTAGTTTTCTTATTCTGCGAAAAGCATTCATAAAAACAATTGTTGTCAGTTTACATACTACAACTACTTACAGTGTAAAACTTTTTGCAATTTGAAAATTGTTGTTCTGGTATCGTGACGTTCAGCCCCATCCAATTCTGTTATTGTTACGAAAATGTTTGCAATAAAAACCTTTTTTCAATAAAGCAAAAATATTGCAACTTAAAACCTTTCATCCGAAAGGGATTAAAAATATTTTTAAAGTTCTTTTGAAAGTATTCCCACTTAGGTTCATAATGACGTTATAGCTGACGTCACACTAGCGATAGGATCAAATTGCATTGTCCTTTAAAACTTCATGACAAGGTGGATTTTAGGTGAGCATACAAGACGTTGCGAAAATAAACCTTATAATTACCTAGATTTAAGATTATATTCACCTTAAGACTAGCTTTATTCAATGATTTTTTTCACGCCTGAAAACCCTAAGAAAACCATGATTTAAGGTTTTTATACAGAAGGTTGCTTTCCAAGGTTTTGGATTAGGGTAATGCGCGTAGAATAGATCAGATTGTCACATATCTCTTTTAAGATTAGAAGGTTTGCACGTAAACCGCATAAAAACCATTTTTAAATTTTACATTAAAGAGTTTTTGCTAAGTGAAAAAAAAACTTATTTTGATATTTGGGTATCCATATAGAAATTTCACATTAGTTTCACATCACAAATATATAGTTTTAAAAGGATACAGATTACATAATATGAAACTATTATTTTTTAATGGTAAACATTCGAAAATAGTATTTTTCTAATACTTTAGATTGCTACTATTAAATTTAAAGTATATAATAAATTTAACCATTTTATAGTTCCGCGTTTTAAAAAAGGATTCGTTTTTTCAGAGTTTTATCTCATCAGTTTTTTATTTTGAATTTTCATTTCTTTCTGTACAAAAACGAAATATGCTATTTAATGTAACTTATTTCTTTGAAAGGTAAAATGTGATTTAATTATTTCCATACTTGGTTTCAGAAAATATTTTCTGACTATGTTACTAAATAGAAAAATGCAAAAACAATTTAATGCTACTCTAAAATATTATGTGCACAGTATTTTTGCTCAATTTTTTGAAGTTCAAAGGTTTTCAGATTTTAAATTTGAAATAGTTTATTTTTAGTATATTTTTTTAGTTTTAGGTTTTCATGTGTTATTAAACTCATGCATCATTTGTTTGTTTACTTAAAAAAATTTATAATATTCTACTTTTTTAGACTCTGCTCATCAATATCCTTAATTGCTTTGCATTTATTTTTGGTTCTTGATGGTGTAAATATTTATAAATATCAATTTAAATACATTTAATTAAAATATTATGATTTTCGCTATTAAGATAGATTTGATTCCAAATTTTAGTTATACAAAATTTAATCATTTCGCTTAGTACCATTGCAACTTCATTGATAAATTTAAATTTTAAATTCTTAACTTATTATCGGTGACTATAAAAACTCATAACTTTACCAATTGTGGTAATTTACCAATAGTATGAAAGGTTAATTTATAATGTTTCTTAAAATATTTAAATAACTACTTCAATTTCATACGATGATTGCACACAGTTTTACACAACATATATTAGAAAAAAAAGCATATCACTTATCAAAAACTAAATATAATTTATTTAATAATTGAGAAAAGTAATTCAATGTGTTTACTATAAAGTGTTGCATAACAAGGTAATATTATTTAATTACTTTATAATAAAACATAGGAACATCTCTTTTTGTTTTAAGTCTTTAATTTTGAATAAGAAAGTTACTATGAATAAAATTGCTACGGTTGTCACTTTTTTAATAAAAAAAGCTGAAATGACAGAATAAGTTTAACACCAATGGTATAACAGTTACAAGTAGTTGAATGATAGCTTCAAAACCTAACTCTGTAATCAAAAGTAGAAGTAAATTGGAGATAAACAAACGATGATTTACAGCTTAAATACAAATACCATTATAATTTTATTAAGTAAAAACTGATGTCAGTTCAAGATTTTAGAATTTTTTTTCGTTAATTAAAAGTATCATCATATTCATCTATCAAATAACAATACAGCGAAAACAGTAAGAAATGATTTTAACTTGTTTAACCATTTATATCCATAACATTATCTTTTTAAGGTGGATAAATAATTAAATACTAATTATTTTAATCTCAAAAAACTTTATTTAGCAAACTAAAAAGTTACAATTATTATTAAGATTAAAATTTCCAGGCTGGATTCCTAATTAGCAAATTTCATGGATACATTTCATATTAACTGCACGAGTTTTCTACTATTAGCATAAGATTCGTAACATTTTTTAAATTTTTCGACAGAAATTAAAGAGTTTCAACACCGTTTAAACCTGAAGTACGCTTAGTTTTCTTTTCAAACTTTTTATTAGTAACTTTATTTAATTTTTATCTAACTTCGCTTTTCAATAGAATTTCGTATCCCGGTCTTCAATTCTCGGCGGGACAAACTCTGTACAGATACTACATACCTACGATAAACAGGTTGTGAAATACTATTATCTTGGGGTATTATCATTCGTTTCTTTTATGAATAGGTTTACCTTTAATCTTTTGCTTACGGCTGGTGCAATATGTGGACCACATGCAATGGTACAAATAGTACATCGTAAACAAAATGTTAATCCATATTACATGAATGAATCATACTTTGAGTGAGTTGCGTACGATATTACAAACACGCTCTATGACATAAAATACATTTGAAACAAAAAAATTTTACTGTACAATGGTTGAATAGAATATGATTTATGTAATTAATATGACACTGCACACAGCGCTTTCTATGAGAAATATTATCCACACTGGTCAAGCATAATGATGCATTCTAGACTGCAGTGTAAGGTTAATTTTAACGTCAGCAACAACCTTAATCACAAAGCCCAACAAGGCTTATAAAGGACTAGCAAATAAACCATGTAAGCTTGAAACAATTTTAAATTTAACTATGATAGTTTACGCGCTATGTGGTTCGTTTCGTATTAAACTTGCTTAAATAACACTTTTATTTTTTCCAAGTTTGACTCGACCTTTACAAAACAATTCTAAAAAAACCTTCTGAAATCAAGGAGGAATAGAAAACGTTCAAACAGAGGATAAATTCACCATCTCAAGGTGTATTTTAGATTTTATGACCATTTCTGAAACAAGGTTTATTTGCGCAACTGTCTTTAACGCTTTAAAAGTAAATGTTGGCCTGATCATTAAGTTTGCCACACAAACAAAATGCAGCATTTGACAGCCTGAACAAAGCTAAAATGAAAAAAGGCAAAAGCAAGGTTCGCAATAAAAGATAAAATATGAGATTTTTTCAAAGATATTTCTGCTTTTATTCAATGTTTAAGGAAAAAGGCTTGACAAGCTAATGTTTCTTTTAAGTTGGAAAAAAATTTATTAATCAACCTTTCTATGCCAACCAAATGAAAATATTAATATTCAATGTCAATGTTAATATTCTATGCCAATTGCTATAAAATTTCATGTAATATGAAGTTTCAAAAAAGTCACATATGCGAAGAAATTGAAATAATTTAAAGAACAAGATCTTAAACATTATCAAATTAATTTAACTTCAAAATCAGCTATAAAACAGCTATCGTACTATAAATTCGAATAAAAAAAATTATTTTTGAAGGAATATTTTCTAAGTTAACGTTTAAGGAAACTGTACCAATTAAAAGAATTTCTTTAAAAAAAAATTCTCAACTCCCCGTTTCTTATTAACATAAATTTAGGTTTTATCTTACCTTAGTTGTTGGTTTGTATTTCGTTCTAAAGTAAATGAAGGAATATTATACTACGGTAATCTTTTATACTTCGGCATGGTTTGACCTTCGAAAACAGCATAATTTGATCTCAGCAATCATTACATCTCAAATTTTGCAGAAAATATGCTGACTGATATATTTTAATGAAACTTAGCAAAAAAACAAACTCATTTTGACGTGAATCACGGTATTAAAAATGTAGAAAATCAGAAAAATATAAAAAATTAATGAAATATTTCTCTAACTGAAGTTCGATGCAATAGATAAAACAGGTTATTACTTGATGTTGTTTGAAAACCTTAATTAGAGTTCCATTGAGTTTCGTATCATTCTTTTTAAATAGTTGCATTCCTTGAATAATTTCTGTATACAGATGCATAAAAAGAAGGAAATGACTCTAAACTGTTACCAATCGTATTACTCGACTAGCCAGCACAATTTCATAGTGCACGTCATATAAACTTCATGGATAGAGATTTATTATATAGAGATTATTATAGAGATTTTGTATCGTTCGCGTTACGGTAAATGTAACTCTAACCTTATGTTCTAACCCTGCCACTGCGATTTGTAAGTAAATTTTCCCACATTCGCAGTAAAGGTCAAATAGCATAAGTTGTTTTGCATAGCGCATACGGAAATTAATTACGCTATGCAAAACCTCGTTAACGATGCTTATAGAGTTCGAATTACTATTAGAAATATTAAAACGCATTGCTAAAACCCTACTATGATGCCAAGTTGAGTTATTAGAGAAATTTTGAATCGAGTTTGCTTTACTTTAACCGTAAGAGAAATTTATGTTTAATAGCTTTATTAATTTTAAAACTCATTGCTAAAATCTTACTATGATGCCAAGTTGAGTTATTAGAGAAATTTTGAATCGAGTTTGCTTTACTTTAATTGTTAGAGAAATTTATGTTTAATAGCTTTATTAATTTTATATTCTAACTGGTAATTCTGCGGTTTGTAAGCGAATTTTTGCGCATGAGCTCTAAATTAAAGGACACGATACAAGTGGTAGGAAAACGTGGTTTAATTAAAGAACTGTTTTTTTTTTTAAAGAAAGTTTTCATGACATTATGGTTTAACGTCCTGATGTTGTTAAGTTTGGAATCGATTTTTCTGTGAGTGTAAAGTTAACTCAAACATCAGGCTATTTTTCTCCTTTGTGTTAATTTATACTTAATATTTAAGCGAAATTAATGATTAGTATTTTATAGAAAATTTAATCTAGTAATTTAATTCAATTCAATTTATCTTGTTAACTATTGATTCAAGATATTTTTCGGTAACAATGAGGTTGAGTATGTTATGTTTCATATAAGACTGTTATAACGGTTTTTTATAGCAAACATGTTTCAAAAGCAAAAATATATGCTCAAAAAAGTATGACTTAAACTCCCGAAATATGGTAAAATTTGCAGTGATTCCGAATCTATCGAAACATAAAAAAGCTCAGTAATTTTTAACAAAATTAACAATAAAATATGGTTTTATAAAACGTGAAAAATAAATTTATCGAATAAATGGTCTTTATGTCATGTTCTAGGGTAGCATTACTCTACGGTAAATTACCGAATTTTATCTCATTTACCGAATTTTATCACATTATTATTTATCATCAATATCAACCATATTTTGTTGCTACTTTTACCAAAATCATTACCAAAGCACCTAGGAAAAATTACCGAGTTTTTTAGTGTTTTCAAAGAGCTAGAAACATGGTAAGTTTTACCATATTCTGGTAGTTTTGATCATACTTTTTATTAGTGTGGTTTAAAAGAGTGCAGATGGTGTTATCATAGTTACATAACTGGATTACATAGTAACCAAATTTTTACTTTTAAGATATTGAGAATAACATGACTAAACTCTAAATACTATTTTTTTTTATTATAACATATTTATACAGCTGTAGTTTTAAGATCCTTTTTCAAAAGATTTTTCAATTTATAGCTAGCCCTCATAATGATTTAAACGATTTTTTTTAAAGTTTCATTAGAATCTAAACATCGGATGAAATAAATTTTGCGAATCTTAATGTATTTATTTATTTTTGGTTCATATTTTCATCAATAGAAATACTTCTCCCCAAATCGATGACGTAATTTGAAAAGATCTGCCCATGAAGTTTTTATATTTTATGTAAAATGTGCTAATAAGTTTTGCAAACTATACTCGTCTAAACCAAAGATTTGTTTATTTATTGGTTTATTGATACAACAAACATTTGCAGTCTCGTAGGCTCAATTAAGGCTTATAAAGCTTTGTCAAGTAGAAGAACAGATAGCACAATAAAGAGAAGGGCATCGCAAAGAATACTCCAGGGTTATGGCGGGATTCGAACCCGCCACCTCCACACTTAACAGAGCGTTTCAAAAATTTGTAAGAAGCTGAACGTTGTGTAAAAGGACAAAAACGCTTTAAGAAATTTTAAATAACTTTAAAGTTTGAGGAATTAAGAAAAATTGCAGGGACGTAAAAAAAAATAACCTAAGTTGGAACTAACTATTAAAATTAATTAAAAATTCTTTGCTTCATAACTTTTTATTGCAGCATGTTACATTCATAAATCTTCTTTTTATCAGCAACATAGACTTGTGCAAGACTATTACAGCGGCATTTACGCCGACTAATTCACCCGAATTAATTCCTGTGATCATTGTAACATAGAATTATCTCCTTAGGAATGAATATCAAAACAACGAGATTTTTGTAAATTTTTAAGCAAGCAAACGAATAGTATGAGACTTGTGAGACTTTTAGACTAATGCAACATAGACAAATGCAAAACTGCCACAGAGGCGTATAAGCTGACTAATTCACTCAAATTAATTCATGTGATCATTGTAACAGGGAATTATCTCCTTATGAATAAATTTCAAAACAACGAGATTTTCGCAAATTTTTGAGCAAGCAAACAAATAGTATGAGACTTTTAGACTAATGAGACTTTTAGACTAATGAGACTTATGAGACTTTTAGGCTTATGAGACTTTTAGACTAATGCAGGACTACTACAGAGGTGTTTACACTGACTAATTCACACGGATTAATTCATGTGATAAGCCGGCCAGGTGGCCGAGCGGTTGGCGCGCCTGACTGTGAAGCCAATGGCTGCGGGTTCGAATCCCGCTCTGGGCATGGATGTTTCTCTTTCTTTGTGTTGTCCTCTGCTGTGTGTGATGTGTGAATGTGTCCCACCCTAAAAACGGGTTTGTGGCAGTGTGGCGTGGGTAATGTTGCTCGCCTCCGTGACCTTGGTTCACAGGTGCCCACTGGGTAACGTGAAATGAGTAACAATTCCGGCATCTTCTAAGGCGAAGAATAATGTTCAATGCCTGCCATTTGAAAAAAAAATTCGTGTGATAATTGTTACATGTTGCTGTTGTTGTTGTTAATTTATGTCGCACTAGAGCTTCGCAATGGGCTATTGGCGACGGTCTGAGAAACATCCCGGAGGATGATCCGAAGACATGCCATCACAATTTTGATCCTCTGCGGAGGGAATGGCACCCCCGCTTCGGTAGCCTGACGACCTGCACGCGAAGTCGAGCACTTTATGGTAGCACAGTTTAACGAGGACCAATACCGCACACCCTCGGTCCCTACTCAGACTGATCCAAGTGGTCACCCACCCGCACACTGACCGCAGCCAGTCATGCTTGACTTCGGTGATCTGCTAGGAACCGTGTCTAAACGATGAGTCCAATGCGGGACTAATTGTTACATGGAATTATCTCCTTAGGAATTAATTTTAAAACAACGAGATTTTTGCAAATATTTGAGCAGGCAAACGAATAGTATGAGACATTTAGAGTGAACTACGAATTAGACGAATAATATGAATAATTATTGGAGATGCTTCAGCTTCATAATAAAGGATATTACAAGACGAAATACAATTAAGCAAAATAGTACACATTTTAAAAATATGTAAAAAAAACTTTTATAAGGAGAAACACATATGACACTCAAATGTCTGTCGCTTAGCCCCTACTTGGATGTCATCCAATATAGAAATAGTATCGATTATATTAGTTCTTAAGTTATTTTCATGTTATTTTTCAATTTCTTTTTTTTTTAAATTTCTTTTGTTTTTATTACTTACATTATATTTTTATGCTGGGAAATATCTCATATGGTTTTTCGTGGTTATATTCATAGGCTATTAATAATAGAAATGTGTGTAAGGGGCTGAATTCCTACAAGTCTACTGAATTAAAGACAAAAACAGTAATGAAAAGGTTAAGTCTTGACTGATTTACATTAACAGCGAATAAAGGGAAATTTATTTGTTTGAAATAAAAAATAAAAAAGTTGAGAAAAAAAAATTGGTCAAATTTTTTGAGGAATTACTGATAGAAACATTTTATAGGTAAAATAATCAAAACAATTTTAGTAACAAAATCATGTTTCTTTTTTTTCACAAAACTGAATCTAGAAATGCTGATATGTGACGGAATTATAAATAATGTCCAACTGTTTTTTTTTTATTTCCAATGAGCTGCACAATCAGTCTTCCCGATGAGCAGACCTAGTGATTCTCCAGAAGTGGTATCCACTCTTTCAGGACCACCACAATGGGTGAGATACCGTTGGCCATGTTAATGTGGACGTCTAGTTTCTGCCACACTAGATGGCAGCACCGAGACTCTATTTGGATGCTAAAGTCCCACTGTTAAACTGAAATATTGCACAACGCTCATTTTCATATTGATACAGTAATAGTATGCTATTCCAAACTATATTTGTTACTCTCGATGTATTGCTATTGACTGTTTGCAAGTCTTATGCCTTTTGTTTGTGCAAGTCACGCTCTTGCACTTTAGGCCTTCAACGTTTTCTCGAATATCCCATTCTATAGTAATGGGTTGAGTTAATATTCGCATAATGTAACAAATACAACAGCAATGCATGTTTTTTGACATTTAACAAAATCAACAAAACTACTAAACGTATAAAAACTTAAATATCATACAACATTAAAAAAAAATTTATTTCGAACAGCAAAAACTTACATTACATTAGATAGATCGACACTATGAAAATACCTCACTTAAAAAACTAAAATAACTGAAAATAAAATCAGAATAATCATCGGAGTCACAAGGTTCAATATCAATATCAACTATTTCCACAATCACATAGTCATTGCCCGTCGGGGTGTTGTTGTTAGTATGAATCGTTTCCTGTGTGTGATCTGGGAATACAGTTGTGCGGTCAGAAGCATGGGAAGATGAGTTTTGTGGTTCAGTCACTTCATTTTGGTTCACTTGTCTTTTGAAGCGTTCGTTCCAATTTAAACTACCTCCTAGACATCCAACAATAAGTAAGAAAAGTAAATTTAAAGACACGCATAAAGTTTGTTTGAAATGCATAGCTGAAAAAAATAAAACACTTATTATTACAAAGTAAGGAAACTGTACGAATTCGAAAATGAAATAAAATAAATTAATTAAATAAAGTTGATATTTAATTTTAAAGTCACACGAAAACATATTACTCGTTTATGAAAAACAGAGTACATTAATTAAATGCAACGTTATTATAATAAAAGTCAAGCAGCAGTAAAAATAGCAATAAGAAATTAGTAATAATAATCAAATATTCTGGTGTACTTTAAAATAAAAGATTATTTGGGCTATCATGATTTTTTAATGTAGCGATTTAAATTTTAATTTTATTTTAATTAATTTTAATTATTTTTAAATTTTAAGGAATCCTTATTAAATAGATAATAAAAAATCAGTTTTAAAAGTTTATGTAAACTATAACATAAGTTAAAAATTATTAAAGGGCTCAAAGAAAATATTTATATTAACTGGAAAATATTTTTTTAAATTCCATTTTCCATGAGTTCCCCTTTTTAGTTTTTCAATAATGAAATAGTTTCAAAAGCAATAAATTAAAAATAAATTCATTAATTATTAGTTTACTTAAAATTTATTTTTAAAAAGCATTAATATGTTATTATTGAGCAATATTCCTCGTATTAAATGAATAAATGAAGTCATGATAAATACAAATTAATAATTATGCATTTTTAAAACAGATTTATGTTATTTTATTCATACGGTGCATATTTAATTTAGATTTTTTCTTAAGACTACAACATTTGCGTCTTATATTTTAGTAGCCTTCAACAGTAATTTATCTTTATTCATTTATTTTTTTATTTTTTTATTTGAAAATGAGATTTTTAAAATTAAAACTTCTTATTCAATTAAAGAACTTATTTAAGTTTCATTTAAATTTTTCCAATTCTGAGGAATAGTCTGAAAGTGGAGAACAAATTTAAAAAAACAGAAGGATATGCATTATATTTCCAATATTTAATCACAATAAGCAAAAAAGAAAGTACAGCTGCAATTATATAACATGGAATTTTACTCTTTCTAATAATGAGGAAATTAAGTAAATTTCAGTATTAAAAATTTTAGGCTTAAATCCATATAATGTTTTCGAGCAACACAAATTATATCAAAAAATTTTAATTTTTTGCACTTCTTACCTTAATTTGACCTGGAATTTTTATTTTACAGTGTAGGATGCGCATCAATAAAGACCATGTGGACGAAAATTTTAAAACAATTAGCCTCAACACCTTTTTCAATAACCGCTTATGTAGATAATAAGGGACAATGCTAAAATTAATTCATTTCAATTTTTTAAAAAGCAAATATTATCCATATATAGAATGCACATCAATCGAAGTCTTGTAGACTAAACTTACAGGCATTTAGCCAGATAAATTTAAATATTATTTTACCATATTCAAGCAAAAGAATCAAATAACCATAAATAAGATGATATTCAAACTGTTAACTGTGAGAAAAACCGTTTATTAACTGCTTTCACCTAATACGGTTAAACAACAAAAATTTTATTCCAGCAACTGGGCCCACCCTTAGTTCCTTACAGCTGAGTACATATTATAGTCAAGAGGACTAACCTGTCAATCTCATGACAGACAGAATGGGGGTTCGGTTCCCAGGATCGACACCACAATATTTCCGCCATTCCCTTCAAGACGTGAAGAGTTTCCAGCGTCTTCCACTCCTCAATTTCTGAATTCTGTACTGTTATAATATAATACTCACATTCACACATAGATGGCAGCACCATAAAGCTGGTTAAAACAAAGAGCTATAACGATTTTGAAACCATACCAGTTGTAAACGATTTTAAAACCAAAATGGTAAAAAATTTTCTTTACCGTAAATTTTATGGTTAATTGGATGGACAAACTGTTGTCAGCTATTTTACTGTAAATTTAGAATGAAAATTCTAACAGTGTATTTGTATGCCTTTTGTCCATCTCTGCATTCCAAAATCATATATTTTGTAATGCGGTTGAGAAACTAACTTAAACTAGCTTGCCATACCAGTTACTGGATGTCTTGAAATCGAGTAACTGTGTAGAAAAATCAATTAAAAAAGGAAGAGATAGAATAGTACGATGTGCTACTAGATGCTTAGAAATTAAAGAAATTTTTCACAGAAATCAGTCATAAACTCCATCAACCTAAGCCGCTTCCCTCCGAAAAACTGTGGAACAATGTTTCCAGTACACCTATTTTTTGCGACAATGCCACAGTTCAGTCTAACTATCAGATTATCAAGAGGCGTACTATTGTGTAGATATTATTATTATTTGTTCCAACTAATACTATTTATTCACAATAATGGTATTAGTTAGGATGATCAGAAAAATTATTAAGCAACGTTTCCATAATAACCATTATTCGCAACAATACCACAATTCGGTTTAACTATCAGATTATCAAGAGGCATACTATCAAGGGACGTACTTTTAGTATAGTTCGTATTACGTATTGGACGTACTAATAATATTGTTTGATAATACTAATTCCATTATTGTGAAATATTAGTATTGGTTGAAGGTATCTAACATACTGCAGAAAACATTGATTGATGATTGTTTTTCTTATCAGCAAAGTCATTTGCTGACAAACTTTGTGACTAACATTGAAATCCATTGAGAATAAAAACTGGTCACCTAGGTGGCATAGAACAAATTGTAAATTTTTAACTCCCCTTGATTTTCTTTTGATTCTTCAAGTCTTCGATCATTTTGAAGGCACTCAATAGTTTATGCGCGTGACTACTGTAGTTCTTATCTGTAGAATCTGTATTTATTTGCTTCCTCAATTTTTAACAACATTAAGTATAGTAATAATATTAATACAAATCACCTTTGGACCAGCTTAACTACCTTTCAAAGTTATCTGATACAAAATATAAACTTTAATGATAACCAGCCGTATGTACAATGCAGCTGTATTTAAATATTCCAATTCTTAAACCCCTACTTAAATCCTGAGACCCTTTTTAATTTTAAATAACAATATATTAATAGAATTTTTTCACCGGCTATTTATAATGATTACATGTACATGTGTACATGTATCAATATACATAATAAAATATAATTGAAAACGTTTTAATGGGAAAGCGTAAAGGTCTTCATCAGGGCATGACGTTTACGATAAATGTGATATTTCTGAATAAAGAATTATTATCCTCAGATAAAAATTACTCTTCATAATGTATATATATATATATATCGCCATTCCCTTCAAGACGTGAAGA